AAGGAAGGGAAGGGACAACTTCGAACTCACACCGCCATTATTGTATGCCGAGCAAATTGAGAAGTAGGAAGATGTGAATCTGAAGACTTTGTTTTTTTTTTAAAAAAAGCGAAGTTATAAAGAGGACAAGAATGGATTCCAGCGACCTCGTGATCCTGATTCCTGTCACGTACCTAGCACCGCGTGCAACGTAAGAAAGTACTGCAGCAGCGGCAGAAACACACGAGATGACTCAGTGAGTCAGACAGAGTGGAAGAAGCATTTCCAGCTTTCCTTGAAGGACGCGCACGAAAATGTCCACTTAACGTGGGCCCTTGTCACCATCACTGTCCGCGCCGTATGCATTCATAGCCTTAACCTTCCCGCGTCACATTTTCTTTTCCTCTCTCTCTCTCTCTCTTTCTCTCTCTCTCTCTGTGATACAGTGTGATTAAGCATTAGTTACGGAGAGAGTAAGAGAGAGGGAGAGTAAACTTTTCTTCTTTTTAGTTTTCTCTCACTTCATTTTTGGTTGAGTTGTGTTCGCGTTGGAAATGGATGATATAGGGGAGTGGGTTCTGGTGCGGCGGGCGGCAGAGAAGGACCGGTGGAGCCCTAGTTCCATGGATGCTCCAGAGAGTTCTAAGCCCTTGAAGGTTACATTCAAAGCACCAGCCAAGCACTGGACCGATGCGATTCCCATCGGCAATGGTCGTCTCGGCGCCATGGTTTGGGGCGGCGTCGCATCCGAAATTCTCCAGCTTAACGGTACTCCTAAATCCTAATCCATTTTGCGTTTATTTTTTCGCTTCTGGCTTTATTTACTTATTTAACTTCTGGATTTGATTTTTTCTTCAGTGGCCGGATATGAAACTTAAAAAATGTATATAAATGGGTATTTTTTAACCTGTCTTTTCTGAAAAATAAAAATGCAGTTATACCGCTGGTTCATACTCTGTAGTAGTATTGGTTTTTTTTTTTTTTTTCCTTTACATGGGAGATGTGGTTGGTTTCTGAGAAAACAGAAGGGAAAATGGTTTGTTTATATATATATATATTATGAATATATATAATATTACATTTTCTCCTTTGTTTATTTTTTTTCCTCTTTCCTTATATATTAAAATATGTCCATTGGGTTCTAAATTTCTTTCTGCTTCCCAATCTTTGGCTTTACAGTTAAGAGTTATCATCTTCGAAGTTATTTACGTGAATTTGTGAATATAATTTGGAGCATTTTTGGTGGAGGAGAAGCCCACGAAAGAGCATGGTAAAAAATAAAAAACTTCATGTTTGAGGTTAAAACGATATTATGGAACTTCCTCTGAACTGGGGTAGATATTTTATTAATTTATGGTGGTGCTCTTCTTTTTTGTTTTTTTGGGTGGAATCCTCATGGTTTACTATACCAAATTTTCGCAATTTTGTTACCCTCTGTTTCCCCTTTTCTTCCTTTTCTTTTGGCAATTATGTAGAGTGCATAAATATCAGTTGGACTTTAGCAGCACTGGAAAAGATAATTGTTCTCTTATTTTATTTTATTGTAGAAGATACACTTTGGACTGGCACTCCGGGGAATTACACTAACCCAAATGCTCCAGATGCTCTTTTGGAGGTTAGAAAACTTGTCGACAATGACAAGTTTGTGGAAGCTACTGCTGCAGCAGTCAAGTTGTCAGGCAATCCTTCTGATGTATGTTACTTTCTTACCTCTAATATGACTGTACTTCTTGATTAGATGAACCGATGGTTGTGCAAAAGTACGTAAATTAGATTTTGCAACGAGAAATTAAAATTCTTTCAGAACCATCAGATAGTATGTCCAGACTATATTGCATAGTGTCCCATTGAATATATAGTTAATCAGCTGGTTCGGTTACCTATATAACCTTATAAGAAGAATAGTATTTTTAGCATTTTGTGTTTTCTATATAGGATTTTCTTCTTTAAAGATATTAAAAATGGCTAGGAGGCATGAATTTATTGGTTTGACCAAATCTTGTCTAGAACAACAATTTACTGGTTTGACTGGAGAAATTTGTAGAAATTCTAGGTCAGTTTGATATTTCAAAATAAGTTTGTTTAAGAATGGCTATTAAAGATCCATTCTGATATCTAAGGCATGTTATTACTTGTATTTTACCTTGAAGTAAGGCATGGGTTTTGGGGGAAGAGTTGGGGGGGGGGGGGGGGGTAACCCATGTGTGGTTGTTAGGCAGGAATTATTAGTTTTCTTATCTTATCCTTGTTTTTAATGTATTGTTATAAGATCCATGCCATGCATTGTGCTTCAAGTTATAGTGCAAACTGTATCTGGATTTCTTTGTTGTTATTAAGGTTTACCAACTTTTGGGAGATATCAAGCTAGAATTTGATGATTCCCATCTCAAATACACTGAAGGCTCATATCAGAGGGAGCTCGACTTGGAAACTGCAACAGCAAGAATAAAATATTCCGTGGATGATGTAGAGTTCTTGAGAGAACATTTCATTTCCAATCCTGACCAGGTTATTGTGACTAAGATTTCTGCAAGCAAACCAGGATCTTTGTCATTTACAGTATCTCTAGACAGTAAGTTACATCATCATGCACAAGTAAATGGAAAGAATCAGATAAGAATGCAGTCTGATTGTCCTGGTAAAAGGATTCCTCCAAAGGTGAATGCAAATGAAAACCCAAAAGGCATACAGTTTTATGCAGTTCTTGATTTACAGATTAGTGAGAGGGGTGCAATAAATGTTTTGGAAGAGAAGAAACTGAAGGTTGAAGGGTCAGATTGGGCTATTCTCTTTCTGGTAGCTTCATCTTCATTTGATGGGCCATTCATCAATCCTTCAGATTCTAAGAAGGATACCATTTCAGAGTCACTGAACACATTGAAGAAACTAGGAGCCTTCTCGTATTCTGATCTTTATGCACGTCATTTGGATGATTATCAGAATCTTTTCCATCGTGTCACATTGCAACTCTCAAAGAGCTCTAAAAGTGCTTTTGGAGAACAACTAACAAATAACAAGGAACTTATTTCCTCTGTTAGTGATTTATCTTTGAGTAGGAGTGGAAATGAAACGGTTTCAACTGCTGATCGGGTAAAATCTTTTCAAACTGATGAAGATCCTTCCTTTGTGGAACTTTTGTTCCAGTATGGTCGATACTTGCTTATTTCTTGTTCAAGGCCTGGAACTCAGGTGGCAAATTTACAGGGTATATGGAATAAGGATACCGAGCCAGCATGGGAGTATGTCATCCATATCTCTCTCAATCTGCTTGTCGTCAGATTTTTTATTCTCTTGTTTGATTGTGAATTTTTCTTATCTGCTCCTTTTATTTGTCCTGTTTGGCAACAGTGGCGCTCCTCACTTGAATATCAATCTTCAAATGAACTATTGGCCTTCTCTTCCATGCAATCTCCAAGAATGCCAGGAACCATTGTTCGATTATATTTCCTCCTTATCGATCAATGGGAGTAAAACTGCAAAAGTAAGTGTCTTTTTCCTAATAAAAAACTTCGTAGTTATCCTTGAGTATAGTTTAAGGAGATTTTAATGGATTGACTTGTTAGCTGAACTTCTCGAAAAATTATGATGAATTTACCCTTAATGTATTTTCTGTCCATTTGTCAATGATATATATACAGGAGAGTCCACCTTTTGGGTGAAATCAAGATAACACTGAGAAAAAGTACATTTCGAATATACCCTCTGATGAGGTAAGGATGAGAAGAAATACATTTCAAACATAAACTGACCATATATTCTATAGAAATCCAGTTGGAAACATTCAGAAATGTTGCCTATTAATCCAAGTTTAAGCATAAACCTTTAGATAGACCACTTAAAGGTTATATGAGAGAGTCAAACTTATTATTTAACATTAACACATCCACGCATAAGCTTGTTAGGTTGAACTTGTGGAATAAAAACAAGCCCATCATACCTTATGTTGAATTAATTGAAAGAAATGGCGCGACTGTCAGGATTCAAACACTACCTTCTTCTTTCTCTAGTTTCCAGACCAGGGACTTTAATCCAATCTCTATTCTTTTTATCCATCTGACACGTGCATTTTCTTTTCCATTAATGTGCCTGTCTTTTTATTTTGATACTTTGTTGGATAATAGAGTTAAACTCATTGCTCCAGAAGCTTAAGCTTATAGAAAAGAGTCCAATATATTATTTAATATTAACATGCATAAGTAGGAGGCACCCCCTTGGTGCCTATGGTTGTAAATTTATTATTATGTCCCTAAGAAAAGTTTAGAAAATGATGAGGAAATCTTAAATTAGCCTCGATGTGAAAATTGCAGTTTATAGGTGATCTTGTTGAAGCTATGATGAAGCAACGCATTTGCAATCTTGCCAATGAAAGAAATAACGTGTAATTTCAAGCAATGGAACATCTATAAGCCAAATTACTTTGATCACTATCTTAATGCAATCTTCCAAACATGGATAATTTTCTTCCCAAACATGGATAGTCCTTAGTAACTCCTCTACATTTAATCTCTCTCTCTCTTTTATACTTTAATAGCGATTGGTACTTCCATTTTTATGGCACTTAGATGCTGAAAGTATACATTCTTATGTTTGGGATCAAAAGATTAATAGTAGGACACAGAAAAGGTACTGAGGAAATAATTTTGTTCCATCTTTTCGGTTGAACAAATTTGTTCAACATTACAAAACTTAAATGTCTAATATACCAAACTGCCCTTGCTTTTTATCCTCTTCATACTCTTTATCTGTATTAGGAATTTCTTTTAGTACTTTCTATCTTATCCATTTTGGAAGCTTACTCTATTCCGATTTTTCGTTTTCTCTTTTTTTGTTAGGATTTCAATAATTTGGCTATATTTCTCTTTTTTTTCTGTCCTTTTCTTATTATTCTATTAAATTACCTTTTACATTTCTGTAACTTCCATGGATTCTGGAGAAATAAATGACGTAATATATTTTTTTGTAATGATGATGGTAGTTTATTTAAGTAAAAGTAAGAGTGGTAATATGTTGTAGATTTTTGTGGCTAAAATCTTGGTTTAAAAGATGAAATAACAGTAATTTTTAATAATTAGTTACGTAATGGTAGTTTTGTTAATTCTCATGCAATGATCATTAATATAAGCCTACTTTACAATTGTGAACGGTCTAATTTATCATTCTGTGTTAATTTCAATCCGGTTGAAAATGTTTACATAATACCTATAATTTGTCATTTATATTTAGTTTAGTTTTATTTATAATTTAAAAGACTATTGTTTAAATTTTTTGATTACTCATACTATTTAGATTTAACAATTAATATATTGCACGATTAATTTATTAATACGAATAGTTCAAATGTTTTTTAAAATTTCACTAAAAAATAATATAACTTATAACACAATGCTTCTTAATTTAGTATATTTATATACAAAACAGAAAATACTGTTCAATTTATGAAAAATTTAAAATCCAATGAGGCAATGCAATTGTCATTTAGTAATCATACACTATGTTTTGTATTGTTTATTGATTATAAATTACTTAACAGAACAACATTGTTTTCTCTAATCTTATGTATACCAAACTTGCTATTATATCTTGTTCTGTATTTTCCGGTTTAGTTCTTGTTCTGTTCCACCATTTCACCAAACATTACCTTTATGTTACAGGTAAACTATGAAACAAGTGGTTGGGTTGCACATCAGGTGTCTGACATATGGACAAAGACATCTCCGGATCGAGGTGAGGCTGTGTGGGCTCTTTGGCCAATGGGTGGTGCGTGGCTTTGTACTCATCTATGGGAGCATTATGCCTACACATTGGACAAGGTATGATCATGAATTTCCATTAAAATGTAGTCCCTAACTCAGTTTTCTAGATCTTTTCCCATAAGTTGGGGTAGGTTGGGGACAGGGTGGTGGATGGTTTTCCATTCAATCAGTGTGCACAGAAACTGAATGAAATTCTGTATTCTGTAAAGAAAAAAATCCATCCAGGGCTTATTAATTCTGGCTAGTTTAGTTCCTTTTGTGTGCATTTCATGGACCTGATAAAATTTTTTGCTCTAAGGTTGTAGCATATGAATGCTAATGAATTTGGTACCTGATGATACCTAGGTGCTTGTGAAATCTCAGTTTCTTTACCAGATTTATTAATGTCCTGTTGAAATTTAATTTTTTTAGTTGGTATTACTCCGATATTTCTATGGTCGTACTAGTTTCAAGATTTAGTTGGTTTCTTATTTGTTAACATTTTCTGCATATTAGGATTTTCTGAAGAACAAAGCATACCCTTTGTTGGAAGGATGTGTATTGTTTTTGTTGGACTGGTTGATTGAAGGTCGTGGAAATTATCTGGCAACAAATCCGTCAACCTCTCCTGAGCATATGTTTACTGCTCCAAATGGTAAGCCTGCCAGTGTGAGCTACTCAGCAACCATGGATATTGCAATCATAAAAGAAGTGTTCTCTGAAATTGTTTCTGCTGCTGAGGTGAAGCTTTTGTTTGATGCTCTACTAGAAAGAGTTTGATATTTGTCTTTATAATCTATGCATCTTTACAAGTTTCCTGGTCGTCAGGTTTTGGGAAAGGAGGAGGATCCTCTCATAAAAAAGGTCCGTGAGGCTCAGTTAAAGCTTCCACCAACAAGAATTGCTAGAGATGGTTCCATTATGGAGTGGGTATGTGAATACTTTGACATTAGCATCTCAAGTCTTTGCGCAGGATTTATCTGCTGTGAAAAGAATAACTATTTTCTTATGTACCAAGATAAGAGACTTCTATCCATTATTTTACTTTTGTCTTGGTGTGTGTGAAAGGCACAAGATTTTGAGGACCCAGATGTGCATCATCGACATCTTTCACATCTCTTTGGCCTGTATCCAGGACATACGATTACTGTTGAGAAAAATCCAGACCTCTGTAAAGCTGCTGATTATACCCTTTACAAGCGAGGTTTGTTTGTGATAATTGAACAAATATATTTCAGTCTTGCAATCTGCTTAAGTTTAGGAGCACTAAGGATGCCAAATCAAAGTCACTTGATTCTACTATCTGTATGAGAATGGATATTGAATGATTAGCGGAACTTCTGGGAATGTAGTGCAAAGTTAATACATAGGCAATAAATTAGATCCTTTTATCTGTTAAATAAAACAGGAAAGTTCCTTTTTTAATTTATTAGAGTAATCAAGCAATGTGGTTATATGCTTTTTCATTATTTGAACCAGGAGAGGAGGGTCCAGGGTGGTCAACCACATGGAAAATTCTTCTGTGGGCTTGTCTTCACAATAGTGAGCATGCATATCACATGGTCAAGCACTTGATTAATTTGGTGGATCCAGTTCGAGAAGCTGATTTTGAAGGAGGATTGTACAGTAACTTGTTCACAGCACATCCCCCTTTCCAAATAGATGGAAATTTTGGGTAAGGAACATTCTTTTTGCAGCGCGGTGATGATCATTGAGAAAATCTATAGTCAATTCCATATTACTTGTGTTTTCTGTTTGCAAATGGGTTTGCAAGTTGTTCAGATCTATTGGCATAATGAGGAAAAAAGAGGACTTGCTAGCATCTTAGATTTCTTTTCAGTTATACTCATAATGCAGTCGGTTACCTTGGCATGCTTATGAAGAGTGCCGGTGGATGTGTATGGATAAATTAGTGTCTTAGAAACCAGTTCTCCCCTTTTTCTTTCAAATTTCTTCCCCCAGGGAGAATAATAAGGTGCCTAGTCTGTATCCCTGATATATGATTTTCCTACTAATAGCTAGTGAAGCTATTGGACACCCGAAATAGCTGGTGAGACTTTTGTTTATTGGGAGGTTTGCCTTTCAGAAAGAACATTTATTATGTCCACAGGCAAAAATATAGATATATAAGTAGCATTGAACTTCTATTTATGTTTTTTACTTTTCGAACATCTAATAAATTTGGTTGCAGTTGAGTACTAAAGTCCTTTACATTTTAAGAATTGAAAGCCCTATTTCTAGATCCCTTCTTGAAGAACATTATCATTGAAGTAAGAAAATATTTGGTTCTCAGTTTTACAGCAGCAGTAGCAGAAATGCTCGTCCAGAGCTCCCTAACAGATCTGTACTTGCTTCCTGCTATTCCTCGGGATAAATGGGCAAATGGATGCGTGAAAGGATTGAAAGCTCGTGGTGGCGTAACTGTAAACATATCATGGAAAGAAGGGGATCTACATGAAGTTGGTCTTTGGTCCAAGGAAGAGAATTCAATGAAACGACTGCATTATAGAGGAAAGACAGTATTGACAAGACTATCTGCCGGTATAGTTCACACGTTCAATACAGAGTTAAAATGTGTTCACAAGTACTCTCTATAGGATATGAAGACATTAGTTTTATAATAGACTAATAAATCCATGGAGCTTGGGTTCCTTTACACATCTTTATGTTATTTTGATCATTCTTTTTCTTGATTTTTTTATGAACTTTGATCTTCAGTTGATATAAACTTCTTGAATATTTATGTGTATGATCAATAAATCATGATTATGTCACTGTCGAATGCATTTTGCTCAACAATTATAAACTCGATTGTTGGTTGGTTCCCATTTGAAAAGCTATGTTCTGCCAGTGCTTAAGGCCATACAATGTTTTTTTTTTTTGTGTCTATGCTGCTAATGGTTACTATGCCGAGGCTACCATGTTCGATTGAAGTGCGGGTGCTGTGGCCCCTTGAACCCCTTCAAGGGGTACTTGGCTCCAGTCCGCTGTTGAGAACGCTTCTCCATGTTATAATTCAGGTGCTAAGGTCGCTCGATTTTTAAGTTGGACTTTTTTCAGTCCGCTCGCTGTTACTAGGAAAATCTTTATTAGTACTTTTTCCTCTGCATATTGATATGTTTAAATGAATGCGGCGGGCAGTCCTGTCTGCTCTGTCATCGCAACAATATCAATTCTTTTTCTCCCTTGAATAAATGTTAACATGAGATCAATACTGGCTATGAATTTATGGCTCAATAACCATAATGCCATTAGCTGATGTCAACTTTTTCATAACATAGTAAAAAGGATAAGTGCTATAACTTAAGAACATATGAAACCAAATGATCTATTTCATTAATTAAATTTAGTACTAAGAAAAATTTGAGTATGATTCATGGTAAATTGTAATTTACAGTGTAGTAACCAAAACCAAACCCATAAAGAAAATCAGAACTAAAATCAAAACATGGATGCCAAAATCGCTACAGAACAAACCGAACATACTTGATAATTCAAATGGCTAACAAGCTCTGAAATTTCCTCTTCTAATCCTCTCTCCTGAGCTTCCCTCCCACCAGAATCACCTCCCCATTTTCAGTTTCTCCTTTTGCTTCACTCCATCTTCTTCCCCTTTCTTCATTTTTGCCATCTTCTTGAATGGTTTCTCATTTTTCACCTTCCTCTTCTCACCCCCAACTTCAGCACCATCCATTGCATCATTTTCAGTATCTTCCTCTTCATCCCGGAATTCATCTTCAGAAAGTACTTGAGGTATACCGCTATCCATGTATCGAACTTCATGTATCCTCCCCTTCTTTTTCAACTTGCTGGATATACTCTCATCCATCTTATCATCATCATCATCATCATCTTTCGAAGAAGAAGCTTCAATTTTTAGCCTCAAATCAGGCACAGTTTGATAAATCGGCAAAGCAAGGCTCTCAAACAACTTCAAATGAAATGACCGGATATCCCCCCATTTGCTCGGCACAATCTCTCCAATCCCATCAATGGCGGCTGTGACATTCTCCATTACCTCCTTAACTCCCATAGAGACTTTTCCTACCTTGACTACTGAGCAAGTACCTGTCCTCAAATACAACAAACAAGACGCACAAGCCTTTTCAATCTGCTCCTTCCAGTTCTTCTGCTTCAAATCAACAGGCAATGGAATCTTCTTCTTCTTGAAAAATTGCTTCCCTAATAACCTCGGCAAAAGCGGAATCACTCCTTTGTCTGCAAAGAAGACGTCATAAGAGTCTAAGAGCTTCCTTTTAGCTTCGAAGGGACGATAATCGGTCTTCAATTTAGAGAGCTTGAGGACTTTGCTGATCCGTATGTTATCAGCTTTGATTTTCTTGACGGCAGCATCCTTGGTAATACGGGACTTGGAGCGATCATCAATAATGAGGCAGAACTCGGAGGTTTCTTCAATGGTGCTGATAGGGGGGTGAGGGAGGAGAATTTTATGGGGGTTAGTTCGACCTGTCTGTGGGATTTTCTTAAGCGTGACGATTAGATATATGAAATCGTCCTGCTCGAGGAGTTGGGGGTTTTGGCTTTTCGATTTTGAATCTCTCCATTTCAGCAATGCGCTTATGGCTTTTTCCACTGTTTGTGGGCTCACTCTCGACAGTTGATGAGGAGCCGCCGTTGCCGTCGCCGTCGCCGTCGCCGGGTTAATCATCAGGACTACCAAGGAGAGGTAGAAGGAGAGCCGATGAAGACGGACTCCGGGAGGAGGATTCTTCGGTTAGGGTTAATTGCCTTGGGCAAAAATGCCTAAATCGAATTTGAACCATTGGATTAAAACGAAGAGATCACCGCCGTTAAAAAAAAAAAAAAAACATAAAAACTTTGTTCGAATAGTTAGTCAGTCGGATAAAACGACGCCGTCTACAAAATCCTCGAGTTAATTTAACGCGTTGAATAGCTGCAAACGGGTTCAGCCATAACATTATAAGAAAAATTATATGCTCAAGAAATATAATTATTATAAATTAAATATTTTGAATCAATAATTTCAAAATTTTAAATAAATAGGAAAAATTTTAATTAATTATTTTGTCCATTGAGTTAAGTGTGGATGAAATATATACCCACTAAACTTTATTTTATATTAAAAGAAAATTAAGATAATAAAAAATAATCAAGTAATCTTTTATACTTAATCCGCTAGGTGGGCCTGGGAACTGGAAACTGGAGCGATGTCTCTGCAAAATAGATCCGCTGCTCACGCGTAATCCACGGTCAATAGGCTCCAGAATAATTACTCTTCAAATCGCACGGCTCTGATTATCCGGACCATACAAGGTTTCCTGCTCCTCGGAACACCAGAACGAAAAAGAAACAGTAGGCTTAAACCCTAGCAAAAACCTTTTGGTTGCTTGCTTGCTCTCGTTCGTCGATCGCTGAACTTCTTTTTCTCGTTGAGAGAGAAAATGGCTTGGCGCAGTGTGGGATCTGCTTCGCGCTCTTTCGCTTCGGCAGCCGCAAGATCGCCGTCGCTTCGACCTCAGGCGTCGGCACTCCCTCGCTACCGTCCGCCTCCATCCGCCAGTCCTCGCCGCCGTTTTTCGTCCTTCTCTCCTTCCAGGTGCCGTATTGTTTAATTGCCTTCTTCTTCAGTTGTTAAATAGTGCTCCTGACTGATCAATTGCACGGACGAAGTAGGAACCTTGAACTGATAGAATCAATGGATATCTTAGTTCTAATATGTTAGGAAGTCTTTCGAATTGCTCGCAGCAATTTCTAATTCAATAGGATTTTAAACTTGCAATGATAAATTTGGAGCCTATAGATATGAGGTTGTACTCTGTTCATGCGCTAGATCTTTGGTAAGAAAATCTTCTGAATGCTTTCTTCATTTTCCAGGAATTTGGGAGAACTTGGATGCATACAATCGTTCCTTCCTCTGCACAGTGTGGTAGCTACATCCCGCCTCACCTCACACCTCACTGTTAACGTGCGGGCTTTCTGCGAGCTGTCTCACGGTACCTTCTGCCGTACTTGTCAGGATCGCTAGTAGTTTCTTTGTGAGTCTTACTGTTTCTAGGATACATGCAAAACAAGAAGCAGAGTGTTTTGAAATGTCGTTATTCACACACTATGATCTTGTTTGCTACAAATTTCATATGGTTCGTAAATTGACCCTTTTTCTGGAGTAGTCTGCTTTTTTGTGTTTAATGAAGTGAGGCATGGATTAGGTAAAGTTTATGAATTTTTCTTTTGTAAATCTGGTTGATAAGAAAGACTTGGGATTGGGATTGATAGGGAAGAAAGGAAAAGATGGGTGATGCGCCAGGACTTTCAGTCAGCTAAAGGCAAGAGAATGATGCTACATTGTAGGTTTCCTGTTTTTCTATCTTCCTTTATATTAAAAAAATAAATTTCCATAAGTTCATATATCTTGTAAGAAGAACTGAATGAACCTGAGTCTTAGAGGCAGATGTAGGGAATTTACCAACAGCTGATATTCTATCTGTTGGGTCATTTTCTTCTGAATAAATGCAAGGAGTCTTTGTTATAACTTTGATAACTCTGTATTGTGCTTCCTGGAAGTTATTTTTTATGATTGCCAATCAGATTCCAAACTGAATTCTTTGGAGAAGTATGGTTCTTTTTTTAAACCAGGACAAATAGAACAGCACTAACTGCCATTTGAGTTTAAAAACTCTAGCCGGTATCACAAATTAATACTTCTTTTGTTGCTACTATTAGATGTCAGACTCTCATAAGTGTTCAATCAAAACTTTTTTAGCCTTTTTTAGACTAATTTAAAGAAATTTTTTTTACTGAAACAAACACAGATTAATTTTGGAACCTCATTGCAATAAACAATAAAAAAACTTTTGGTAATATTTCTGGGGATATATGGAATTAAAATGATAATTCGCCCATAGGAAAAAAGTAGCAAGCAATGTGGTTTTCCGTAATTTTTTAACCTAATTATTACTTTTTTAATGTAAATTTACATACGGTTGCACTAGAACTGTGTAAAATACTAGAACTAGTGTTTAACTATAAAGGAAGCTTTAGTTTTTAACTCTTCTGATCTTATTAGGCTTATTACTTACTCATCCTGAGCAAATTGTTTGAAAGTGATATTCCTCTTATGAAGTTCTTCTTTATATTAAATGCAATATTCCGTTGATTATCTAAATATTTTGTGGGAAAGAAAAATTATTTTTTTCTATTCTAACCTCTGGGAAGGCAGCTTGTGTCATGCTGAGGCATAGATGCCAGACACATGGCACAAGACTCATAAAAGAAATACTTAATGGATGTTTAGATTTTTTGTTGGCTCCTGTGTCTGTTGGTTCTTTTGTACACTTCCCTACACCTAATTCTTGAAAGGTTAGTTTTGTATTTGGGTGGCACCATTTTGGTCTCTAGGAATAAATTCTCTTTTTCAATTAAAAAAAACTGGCCTTTTTTGGTAGCCTCATTGAAAGTAAAATATTTGCACAAATATTTCCATACTTGACTGAAAGGCTCCAATGAGTTTTACTTTTTTCCTTATGATAGATTTGAAAGTCTTATAGAACTGCAGATTCTCATATGATTATGTGAATGCTTATTGTTAAACATCAGAATGGAATTGTTGTTGTAGGATATGATTTTTTTTTCTTGAAATAAGTTGTTGTAGGATATGATTGTTCATCAGTTTTTTTTCCTTCCTTAGAATTCTCACAGAACCTTAGTTTTTGGAAGATTATGTGAATGTCTGCTTTTTTAAGCAACCCAAAAGAGCTTTTATGGTAGTTAAGAGTTGTTCATCTGACCTGGTTAAATACCGGAAGGAAATAAAATCAAAAAGCTTTTTAGCGGTGCTTAAAGATTAGAAGTCATGAAATGCCTCTTTTTATACATTTCACTTTGTTAATTGTTTAATTGTTTCTTGATGATTGATTTAAAATCATTTATAATCAAATTTTGTAAAATTTTAAAGTTGGCTAGGATTTTATAATTTTGAAATGGTAAAGGTCTTAAAATCCCATGACAAATAAAATCCATTTTTTGGACATGTTTAGCGTATTATATTGGAGTGGAGAACAATGTAGAACCTGGAAACTAGTCTACTATTTATACCATTTGAGCACTGCAATTTGTACTATACATTGTGCTTGCAAGATTCTGCGACTTGATTGATCACCTAATTAATCTAGTCAAATATTCACCAAAGGTTTAAAAGTCTGTTTTGAAATGTTGACCTCTAGAGTTTTTTTTTTTAAAATAAGAAGAGTATAATGCTATTTTGACCTCTAGAACTATCACCTGTTATCTACTAGCTGCACTGTCTTTTGCATATTTTGCATGTCAACTGATCAATGTTCAAAACTGTTAGAAGTATTCAGTTGAGTAGGAAATTGGTCCAATGGAAGTCCAGTGTCCATTGTAATAGCTTCAATACTCTGTACCCTGTAAAATTTTAGTCTCACAGATTTTGCACTTTCTGCCTTGTTCCACTGTAGGTACTTGAAACAGATTGGATCAGCACATCCACGTGCAACATCATATTGATGCAGCTGAAGAGTAGGGTCGTCCGGTGGGAAATTATGGTCTTTCCATAAGAAGGTTCAATAATATTATTTGTCATCTTTATGTTTCTTTCATCAATAGATAAAGTATCTCCTAATTTATAGAACAAGATTTTAGGTGGCGTTTTGTAGGCAACTTGACTTTATTGATGTTAGTTGTTCCTTTGCTTTATTATTCCTTCATGTGATGCTATGCTGTCAATCGTAAAGTACAGTCATACATATCAAATCAACCTATGGTTTTCATGTGATTATTCTTTCATGGTGTTTATTTGTTTGGAACTTTGCACTTTTTTACTACTAGCTGGTAAGAAGACAGACTTTTAGTTATAGACAGACATATGGTATTACTAGTAACAGATTTAGTAAAAAATTGTTCATTTCAAGTCATTAAGCTTGCCTGTGCTTCTGCTTAGTTTCTTCTGGCAGCTGAGGCAAGGTAAAATGAGAGAAGAAACCTCTCAACGGTGTAAAAATTCATGCCTAACTTTAGGATTCACAGCAAAATTATATAGCTATTGGCCCGAGGTAAGTCCCCTGTGGTTATAGAATATTTAGTTTGATTTATAGCTATTGCTCTTTAAAGAGTCTGTCAAGTATAAATAGTTCAATTAATCCTTCAAAACCAATCACTGTTTATTTCAGTAGTTAGAACGTCCATTTTTTCGCAAAAATTGTGAGTTCGATTTCAACTTTATTGTTGTGTTTTTATTTAAAAGTTACCTGTATTATTATTGGTGTATATATATCACATAATTGATGAATATATATATTTCTTATACGAAAAAAAAAAAAAAATCCTTCAAAACAAGATGGTTACTCTTATGGGTATTATTGTTGGATACTCTTTGTTGTGTAATGTTTGATTCTAAGAAAATACTGGGTACTCTGGACGAACTCTGTAAAACAGAAATGATAACTCAGGAGATGAAAGGTGATGGATATTATTGTTGGATACTCTTTGTTGTGTTATGTTTGATTCTAACAAAAATACAGAGTACTCCGAACGAACTCTGTAAAACAGAAATTGGAAGTCATGAGATGAAAACTGAAATGAAGGAGATGATAGAAGGAAAGATGTTGGGAAATTCTGATAACGTTGGTGGTGAACAGAAATAGGCACATGGGTTGGGAAACGAGCACGATGGGTGTTGGTGCGAGTGACCCACCACAAGATGTTTTGGTTGGCAGCGGAAGTTCCAACCTGGAGAAAGTTAGCGCATCACCCAAACACATGGCACTGCCCACTCGCACGCACACTCCTTCAAATATCTGCCCAGCCAACTTCTCTCTTTCTTTTCTTTATAACCTCAACATTTTCTATGGTTTCAAGTATAATTAAACCAATCATTCCTATCAATAATTTTAAAAGTACATAATTTTTATTTTCACTTACAATTGACAAATTAAGAACACAATTTAAATTAGATCTAAATTAATCTAGAACTAAAATCATTTGGTATTTTGTCTTAGTAATCCCCCAATAACATCCTCCTCCTCTTCCTCGACAATGAAATGCGCCAAGTTTAAGACTTTTCGAACACGGATCATTGAAAAAAGTAAGAACATTACTTTTACGAAAAATATCATTTACAATTATCTCAATCAAAATATCTAAACGCGGCATTAGATCTTTCTGATCGTGCCTTCGAGTTCAATTGTCTTGCCGCAGCCACATCCGAAGCGAAAAGGGATAGCAAACTTTTATTTAATATTTTTCTTGGTATTCAATAAAATTAAAATTCAAATCAAATTTAACCTAATATTTATATCCATCAATAGTTTGTATTTTCAACTATTATAAGAAAATTAAAAAAAAAAAACCCTTGTTGTATTTTATTCAAAATTGGTATGACAATTCATTTTTTTTTTAAATTATTTCAATACACAAAAACTCTAATTAATCAAATTATTAATAAAAGTAATATATTACGCCTTTTATAGGAGATAGTTTTTTTATTTTTTTATTTTTTATTTTCATGCGTTTTAAGTTTTGCCAAAGGCCACCCTAATTAATAAACACACGCTTTGATGTCTGTCAAATCAGACGAAGAGAATAGAGAGTGGTGTCAAATCAGCTTTCTGTTAATAATTGTTTCTTTTTTTTTTTTTTCTTCTTCTTCTCCACATGGTTGGGTTGCTAGGAAAAAAAATTAATTTTTAAATATTTTAATAAACAATTTAGTGATATTGTATTGTAATTAATTGGTATTATATAATAGTTGATTGTAAATTTATTACTTATTAATATTATTAAATTATTACTAAATATTAGAAATTTTAGTAGGTGTAAATTTCTCTCACCTTCTCTTTACTATGTATTATGATTTACTCTCTATGATATTTTTTATTAACCATTTATTCACCGAATTTTTTATTTGTTAACTAAAAAAATTAAAATTATTGGACCAAATTTGAATGTTTTTTAAAAAATAGTTGAAAAATAATTTTAATTAATTAATTGAAATTTTAAAAAAATAATAATTAAAATAAATAAAAAAATTATAAATTAAATTATAATAAGCGATAAATTTTAAAAATTAGTTTGATAATTTATTTTTAGAGAATTGTAGTAAGACCTAAATATTCTCTAATTTCTTTTTTAATTCGAATCCGGTTTTATGGATTAAGTACCTCAAAAGCTACTTCAACACTTGATATCTACATATCTATATGTGTGTGTGTGTGTATGTATATATATATATATATATATGTATGTATGCATGCCACTAGACTAAAAGAGTAAACACAGACTGTATCGAGTCACATGTAGCTTAAAATCAAAAGGGTAAGAGAAAAAAGGAAGCTGATGATACTGAATTGAAACTGAAATGAAATGGGGCAGCATGCAAGTTGGTCAACTTTCCTTCCCATTGTGGATTATTATTTGCAGGGAACTGATCCCTAGATGGCTAAGTTAATGACATCTGCTTTTACCCAACTGTGGTCCATCATCACCTACTCCTTTACTCAAATATTCTTTCTCTTTTTCCCCCTCCCCCAATTTGCATTAACAAATAGATTTAGGGGGGAAAAAAAAAAAAAATCTCCCAACTCCCATGAATACAGGACGAACACAGGCATAATATAATATTAGATTCATCAAACATATTTTTCTCTTTTCTTCAAGGAATTCTCCTTTCGGTTATCTTCCCTTTCGTCATCAGTTGATCCAGCTCTTTTTATATTCGATTAGTTGAAATATCACTGTATTTTGATGATCTCTAACAAAAAAAAGCTACCCACAATTAGGGTTTTTTTATATATATATCTTTAGCTTCAAAGATTCTTTGGTCTGTGTTTTCATGGCATTGCTGCCGTGTCTTATGCCCATGATATTTTAAAATAATTGTCAGAATAAACTCCTGGTTTCTCCAATATGCTTCTTTTTTTTTTTTATTCTAAAGCGAAAAATCTAGGAGAGGTTTTAGGGTATTTGAATTTCAAAAGTGAAGATCCAATTCGCTAATCTAAGCTAAAAAGGAAACTACAGATCCACTAAGACCATACATTGCATCATCATCTTTATCATAATTTAGCAAATCCTCATCTCTTCATCCCCTACCATTTGGTGTCAGTTTCAGCACCATGAATCTTATTCTCCTTTTCCTTTTCCTTTGAGCTATCAATTTCAGAGAATCAATTGAAAGTTTTATGCAGTACATGAACATGTCTTTTTCTTTAATTTACTTCTCAAACTGTTTATCTACCCATTGGTTTCAAGCACAGGTACTCTTTTCCTTCCTGTTCTTCTTAGAACCCAGAAAAAATATGAAATTTGGAATACCATGCAACGGATCAATACCAATTAAAATCAACTTTTATCTGATAAACTATCCGATTTAAACTGGGAAATCTTTTGCAGCCTTATCAAAATGCTGCAAACAGATGAACTCCCTCTCTCAGAAGGTAGAAGCACAACTATTATCGAACACAAACTAAAACCTATAATCCCACTACGGCAAGAAATAGATCCTTTACTACCAGCAATTAGAGCACCACTTCGTGAGGTTCTTAGCCATACCCAACAAAGGAGACTCGGCTCAAACCATAGCAAGTGATGTTCCCATAATCATGACCCAAAAATCATCTTAGATTCTTCCTAAAAGATCAATACAGCACAAACTACCATGAAATGGACATTTAAGGAGTCCTATGCTCAGCGCAAAAAGGAGAGCCACCAGGCCAAGATAGGATTGGGTAGAGGATGACATGTTCTTGGATTTTCTATAAGACCTACTGTCTGGCTTTATCTTACACATTATTCTCTAATTAATTCCGGGAATTGGTAATAACTAGACTCGTAAGTTGACTTTCAATGAGGACAATGATTATCAATATATACATATGCAACTAACTCTGGGAATGAATTTAATTTTTTTTTCCCTAGAAAGCTTAGGAATTTAAGGACTTGTAAAAACCTGTTACACACACATATATATGTGTGTGTGTACTGTACGTATAATAAAATTCCAATCTTGTTTCTCGGGTGGCAGACCCATTTCAGTTACCATGTCTGCCATGGAAGAGATAAAACTGTCTCAAACCCACCACAATCACTGGATCTCATCTCATAAAGGCGCCTGTTTGTGTCATTATTAGGTGTGGGTGAGAGAGAGAGAGAGAGAGAGAGAGAGAGTGAGAGAGAGAGAGAAGCAACACTAAAAACAAATGCAAGTCCATATAGGGAACTAAGCTTCACCTGTCTGTCTTGGTAGCTTTTATATATATCATCTAAAACAGAGACTAATAGAGTACAAAGAGACTTAATGCAACTTCAACTGTACATATAAACAGCCCACTACAAAATACATTCACAAGAAAAATAAAACTCTCCAACATGAAGTCTCCCACCCAGATCCTCTTGTCTAAAATAAACCACTGTTAAAATTTGTTTAAGATAAGGTCATATAGCCTTTTTTTCCACCACTACTGGCAAGTTTTTCTCTTGGCCCTCATTATCATTGGTCACTTCCCACCAAACACTAAATCAAAAGGCAACTAGTAAACAAACAGAACTAACCCTACCATCACCACCAAAGTCTGATGTATGTATATGTTCCTTCCTGAAAATGCATATGACTCACTTCTTTAAACAGCAATTACAACTTTAACACTTGGTGCCATCTTTATCAGATAACATACCTACTTGACATGAAAGAGTTCACTAACTACAACAGTTCTGCCGACTGTCGGTAGCTTGTCCCCACCATTTCGCACGACTGGTCCCAAAATTATCTGATAAAAATCTGAACTCTCCTATGTAGAAAAAGAATATAGTATATATATATATATATATATATACAAGGTGTCTTAGTAATCCAGTAACTTACCGTAATTTATTTTCTGTTAATGCTAGATTTATCCCAAAAAAGTCAATATATATGTTTCTTGATTCTAACAGTTTAAAAAAAAAAGATTATGGTATAAAATTAACCAAATAAGAGATGGCTAGTGCTGAGCTGCAAAATCATCCTATTAAGATGATGATTTTTAATGGGTATAGTCTATACATGACTTCCTTTTTGTATAACATCGGTTTGCAAAAGTTCTGGAAGCACTATCCCACTGAACTCGAAAGTCCGAACCGCCCTAAAGAGGCCGATACTAAATCGAGTTTGCAAATTGTTTTTAACAGTTTTTTGTAAATGAAAAGTCTTGAATAAAATACTTTAGGGATAAGCACGATACAAGATACTATAGAATTTTCCTAAGCATTTTTAAAATATATTTATCAACCCATGCACTATTCCTAATACATAACGTGTTAAATATCAACACAAACTGACTGCTAAGACCACTTGATGCATAGACTCTTCTGCAGATGCCCAAAATAGTATCTATCACACTTAATTGACTTGCAGAAGTATGGGCAATTACTTATTTTATTGGGTGGACAAGAGGCACCCGTGGCAGGTAGTGTATATATATACACTAAGAGATTATGGTTTTCACCATATCTGGGATTGTTGTAATATTGTCAGCCTTGAACATCTTAAATTACTATAAAGAGAACAATGTAAAGTCATTTTGATTTGAGGGAAGATTGGGAAAAGGTGAAAGATGAAAGTGGGGAATCCTAAGCTGGACAAAAGTAACAGTAAATATGACATAAGCATTGTCCCCTAGAACACAAAGCATCACTTAGGTGGGGTCACTGATTTGCTTGTCCATTGTGTTAGCACTCACCATTTATTTTCTCTTCCCCTCATTGATCTCACCCTTCAGACAATTAGCCACAAGCAGTAGCAAGAATCCTCTCTTTCTCTGCCCAGTCCACCTCTCCCGAACATCCCTGTCCAGGTTGAAACTGATAGAGAAATGATCTTCCAGGCTGAAGATGCAACTGAAACAACATCAAACCAGCCATACAGTGAGTTAAGAATAAATGATGAGAACAACAACGAGCGAGTAGAAGAAAATCCAGGAGAGTGGCTGAACCTGAGACTGGGTGGGAATTCAGTCTCAACAGCTGCAGACTCTGACTCACACCCGAGACCTGGTTCAACCAAGGTTTTCTCCTGTAACTTCTGCATGAGAAAGTTTTTTAGCTCGCAGGCATTAGGGGGTCACCAGAATGCTCATAAGAGAGAAAGAGGTGCAGCCAGGAGATTCCAGTCTCAGAGGATGATGACAATGATGGGTCTGCCCATTAATACTGCTATGGTCCGGTCACTTGGTGTCCAGCCTCATGCACTCGTGCACAAGCCAAACAGAGAAGGAGCAGCAGCCAATCTAGCAAGATTTAATGATATCAACAAAGGATATGGCATGGCATGGACGCCATTCATGCTAGAGGATGCCATGGATCTCATGTGGCCAGGCAGCTTTCGCTTGGAACCACAACTACCGAAGCCTCCATCAGAACCACTTATGCTTGACTTAAATCTCCGACTATGATCGATCCATCATCTTGCTCAAGTTTACTTATTTCTGTTAGTATTTTCTCTGTTGGAAAATTTTTTCACTTTTCATCCATCAAGTACAGAAACTGACTTATGTAGGAACCTGATGAATTCCAAAAGCTTGGTTCTGCCCAATAAAGTAGAAGCAAATATGCAGAATATCCTTTTGATTATACATTTAAGCGCAAGAAAGCTAGGTATACTTCCATTTTGCAGAAACTTCAAAAAAAAAAAAAAAAATACTGGTGCAGTATGCCAACATGCTACCAAGGTTGTAAATTGTAACGGATATTCCTTCATGCTATAAAATCTCGTTAAGTTTTGGTCTCTTTACTTAATCATATGATTCATCCAAAATTTTGATGATTCAAGTTAATATGAGAGATATATTCACAGGATAACTATCATAATTTGCCATGTGAACTACTTCTGAAGGAAAAATAAGAATTATTGCAGCAGCCAGAATAAAGCAGGCTAAATCCCATTCCAAAATATACTAACATGTAATGGATTAGCACATTAAGATTATCATCCACAGCCTGCAAGAACGAGGGCAACCCAAGCAATATCAGTGCTAAGAAGACGCTAGAACCAAAAACTAACCTTTGGGTCATGCATGCTTTCCTGCATGCATCCCTCCGAATTACGCATCAAATCTAATCTCTTAACTTTCAGTTAGTCCAGTTGGCTGGAATTCACTATGTTATGAGTGAAAACAAAACCGAGATGCATGAAAACAGCTATGCCCAAGAGTGCCAAACACTCCAAAAGGCATAGACATCCTAGAAAGGAGTACCTTAGTTGATTGAGATAGAATCAAAGTACAAGACAAACTGTTGCAACAGAAAGTCATTGGTTCACCAATAATCTCATAATGAAGAAAATTATAGTCACAATCACCACAATACTTTAGTCAATTGGAGGTGATGAAAGACAATTTCTACACCCAACCTCTGACCTAGAACAGGAAATGTAGAAGCTCCAACTGAACCCAGAATGATCACCTGCGGCTTAAGTAAAGACCTGATCAACATTGCTTCATAAACCTTGCTAATCTATCGACCATCGTTACAATAGCAGGATTTAGTAACTTCAGTGACTTCCTTATTTGGATTGTAGCACTGTCTATCAGTTTTATTATATCTGCACGTCAGCTAAGTGTTTGACCTTCAGCTTGGTCCTTAACCGTGCAGCAGAGTATGAAAGAGTCCCTTTTTTTTTAAGTGTTTGGTATGAAACTAAGTCAATGAAGTACATTTACATTTGAGAGAATAATTTGGCAACATGCATGAGCACTGAAGCTTTTACTACAAGGCGTGACTAATTCTTCTCACAATTTGAGAGGATTTCAAAACCTTGGCGTGATTGAGTGGGTTTTTAGTATCCTCTTGTTTTTGGTTCTAATCCGACTTTAGATCCAAGATTGTTCTGATAAAATAAAATACATCCTTGAATTCTCCATTTTCCCACGTTAACTAAGATAAACCTTTTCTTACCAAATGAAACAGTATGACCTATAAATGATGTTGATTCATACATACCAATGTTTAATCCGTAGACTCTATGTTTCCCATCCCCTACTTTGAGCAAATTGCTTTTGCCCAACTGTTCTTGCGATGCTTCCCTAGTCACATATCCAGGTGATTTTCCCAAGGACTCCTTTAGTTCAGTTTGTTGTGCTCTTACTCCTGTAATTCTCATGCTAATCATGATATAAAGTCAAAATAAGGATATTTAAACTAAAAGGAGTATATGCTTGTTCTTGATTATGCCCAACAAATCATATCTAGGAAAGTGGTACTTGATCAAACACAATATAATGGAACATCACCATTGTTGTGAAAATAAGTAATCACCCACATAATTAAACTAAAACATTGCTGCAATCACACCATAGAACTCTGTTGAATTCCTCCATATAGACCCAATTTATAGCCTCAAGTTACCAGGGACTTTAAGCTTCTGGACCTTGTGCATGATAACAGGGAGCCTCTGGCTAATGATGCTTGGATCACCATATGCAACAGAATCAACAGGATACCCTTTCTGCAGCATCAGAAATGAGGACAGAAAAATATCGATTTTATCATGTAAATAAGTATTATGTTATTAATCAGATATCTCAACAACGTTCAAGTTATGAACACAAAAAACATAAGCAAACAGGAAGCCGAATAACAAAATGAGAAATAAAAAACTTGACATTGATTTTATGAACAGATAATATGGCCAACAGACACCAATGATATAAAATGTATAGAAAAATTTTCTTCTTTAGGAGAAATAATGCATAGAAGGCTTTATAACCCTTGGTGGCAAGTTGGTATTATTAAAATGCATAAAGAGGGGTTCAAATTTCCCATTAATATTGAATTTATTTGTGAGGAAAGAGATGCAACTTTAGCCGAGATTCAAAATTTATAACTGAATTCAATTTAACAAAGCTGCATCCCCCCCCCCCCCCCCCCCCCACCTCTCCCCAAGCAAACTACCTCATGCTATGCATGCTGAATTTAACATTCTGAAATATAAATTGCAAATAGCATTTGGTTTGAAGTTCTGGAAGCTCTTGTTCCTCAAAAAAAAAAAAAAAGGGTTCTGCAAGCTTTCCCTCAATATAAAATTCCAGCAATACTTCTCAAGGTCAGGACATTCAAAAATACATTTCTTTGTCCTCCAACAAAGCTAGGAGAAGACAAACAAAGAGAAATCCAAAATCTAACAAATGAGCAGCTACCACTAGAATCCAAAAACAGAAACTCATTTCCCCCAGTTAACATGCCAATCTATCCCCCCCCCCCCCCCCACCCCCCACACCACACACACATGACTGCGCATAATGGAAGAGAAAGTGAACTTACTGCAGATAAAGCTTGAAAAGTGGCTTCCCTCCAGCAGCATTCTTGAAGAATAATAGGATCCTTGCTCTTATCAAAAGCGCAATGCACACGCGTATCTCTTAATCTCATTAGTACTCCATCAACCCTAAGCTGCAAGAAGAACTGAGCTGCTGACAAAAAGGCAAATACAGTAACGAGAAAAATAGAGGAAAACGATATATACTCAAGATTTTTTCTATCATATTTCTTATATCATACTTTACAAACTTGAGAGGAAAGATATTTAAGCCCAAAAAGGTCACTATACACATGCACAGATTAGAAGATATTTGTTCTTTTTATTGTGCAGAAAAATTGTAAAAAAGAATGGCTTTGTGTAGTGAATTTGCACAAAGTTATAGAAATTACCACTACAAACTCACCCAAAATCGTAAGAGAAGAAACCAGCAGCTGGGCATTACTCTCTAGAGAAACAAAAGAATACTTTATTAATCACCAGCCAATCTCCCAAGCGAATGTAAAGCAACTACAGACAGTTCAGTTTCAAGACTTACCACTTTCACACTTAGAAGTGACACTCCATTATCAGCCAGTTCATCTTCATACAAAATTACCTGCAGAATTAAAGGACTGCTTTCATCACCACAGGCATTAAGAAACAATGAAATATACAGTATATACCCACACATAGAACCATACATGTAGATGGATAAACAGATATAAAGATGAAGAGACACATCTTATCCGTGCATAGTTATAATGCAAGGCACTCACCTCATCATAGAAAAGAATAGGCTCTTTTAACGCAAGTGCAGCCACATTAATTTGTTCCCTGCAATCTTCCCAATGGAGCTTGGAGCTCCCCTCTGAGATTTCGCTACTTCCATCCTGATCCAAGAATATATTATCAGTAAAAGCAGCATCATAAATTTGGGTAAATCAAACAACCAAAAAAAAAGATAAACCATTGAACAAAGCAACACTGAAAATGATAGCTGAAACAATGATGAAAACAACAAGCCTTTTCAATAATCTGCAAACTATCAAATAATAAAAAAAAGTAACAGAGGTATCAACAGAGAATGCAGTCAAGAAACGGATTTCATATACAATGATATTTGAACCACAGATAATCATTACAAAACAAAAACCAAGCCAATGTCACAGAGTTCATATACAATGAAATCCAAACCGCACCCAGATATTGCACAGCAAACTGATCCAAGGTCACAGACAACAGCTTACTTATAGAGTCATAAACTTTGAGTCACATAAATAAGAATAGCAAACCTTCTCTTTATCTATTTCAATCATTTCACTTCCACGATATGGCGTTGTGAATGTATAGTCATAATCTAGTATCACTTGCTGAGAGGGTTTGCTGCAAATTCACAAAAGTACAATGAGAACAAATTGTAGTTATTCTTAGTCAGCATACAAGGATATTTTTTATAGAAGGAAAACAAACTTCAAATAAGTTCCAGACTGCCCAAACCCCACTTCATATACAAAGGGTTTCATCTGTCAAAACGCATCTAACGGGTGAACCAAGTCGCCCCTTGAAATCAATAGTTATTCCAGTGATGGTTTTATGCACTAAAATTGTGCAGCGAAATATAATTTGAGAATATGTCCGTGGTATGGTAAAATAAAAATCTTAATAAGCCTAAAATTTTAATTTAAATGCTGATCATACCTTCTGAATTTCCATTTCTCCGCCGCAGGAACTTCCACAGGCGGTAAACCTTCTTGCTTCCAGCCAGCTAGAGCATCAAATGCATTAAAATGAATCTTAATCCCGCTATTTATGTGCTTAAGAGTTAAGGAACTCTCTCCAAAAACCATCTCCGGCAAGTGAGATGTCTGAAGCCTTTCTTCCCACCTGAAAGATCATCCAAGCCATGTCTGTTACCAAGAAGAGTTCGCGAAATATAGAATGAAAATTCAAAGTTTAGCCATTAACACGCAACTATCATTTCAATCACCAAAAAACCAAAGAGAAAAATACATTATATATGTATATATATATATATAGAGAGAGAGAGAGAGAGAGAATACTCCTGGAGGGAGGATGAATTCAGAATGGAGCATTTACGAGACTCGATCTCCCAGCCATGGATGCGCAGTCCACGCCGACGGCCGGTCAACAGCTCGGCACCGGCTTCTTTTAGCTCCTTCTCATCAACTTCTACCTCCATGGCTGTACCAGAATTTCTCCCTTGGGCTCAACCGGTACGGGGGAACGTTCGTGTTTTTCTCATTGTGGATGTGGGCCTCCTTCGCGGGTTCGGGTTTGGGCTCCCATTTATCCTTCGCATTTTTAATTTTATATTCACAGATAAATGAATATTTTTTATTATAAAAAATTATGATCAATCATATTTTTCTCTACTTTGGATTAATATTTAAAAAATTATTATAATAAATTAAATATATAAGCTTAGTATTTTCATATAATATTTTATACTAATAAATTAATATTGGGAACTTTTTAATTATTAAAACAAACAAAAAAAAATAAATTCCGAATCATAAATGGCCATAAATCCTTATTAATTATTTAAAAATATATATATATATACCTATATAATTAATGGAATTGACAAAAATTCACAAAAATATAAACTAAAACAAACTCAAACTATATTTTATGGAATATAATAAGAGCAAATATTGATATTCCTGAGAAAAGAAAATACAAGGGAATTGAACAGAAAAAAAAAAATGACTTGAAAGTACAAGTTCTTTATTTTGACCAGATAAAATTTACAATCATATATATGAGTTTGAAAGTTGCAGTTTAACATTTACAAATTTACTTGGTATCTGAAAGTATCAATTCCTTCTTATTAACTAAACCAGGAGCTTGGAGTCTGGTTTTATCAGTCATCAATGGCTACTACATCTGCAAGCAAATCATGAGGCAAGGTAGTCTATCGTACTCGTCTGAACAGTTTATCTGCGAATGAGCTGGGATTATCATTCGTCAATGGCTTCGAAGTAGCATGCAGGAATTTCGCTGGGAAGAGACAGCGTCGCTACACACTTGAACTGTTTGCAAAATATCCATCACATTCTTTATCAATGTATAAATAATAGATCAAACGCTATTCCATCGATTAATTTTTTAAAGAAAATCAGTTCAACTTTGACATTAAAGAGAAATATAATGGTACTGAAAAAAACTTGATGAAACCTCAGCATCTTCTGTGTTGCAACAACTTACATCCATAACCAGTTAAAAAGATAAATTGATTGGATTTGGGTGGGAGCAAAACGGAGTTACAGATTCATAAAATTACAACTAAATTTTTCCAGCGAATGCGAGTTTCGAAGACAAGAAAGCATACCTTGTGCTTCATGTATTTATCTTTTACTGCGTAGGAGGAACTTCCTCTGCTTTTCAGTTGCAATTGATAAATAGCAAGAACACATTCCTTCAGGTCAGATGGTGTATAACCTGAAATACATTGCAATTCCATGCTCTGTACAACATGCAAAAAATTCATCCTCTGTCAACATTTTCCAGATAGGAAGCAATCTCAAAAATAAGCTGTTAGTCACCCGTTTTTTATCAATTATGGTCAAAGATTGGGAAAGTAATAGCTAGTATGCACTGAAACTGTATACTATAACCTTCAAGAAGATTGAAATTACTTCCTACCCAAGGATGCTTCACCGGTTGGATTGTGAATCTTGAAAGAAATATAACAGATGCAGAAAGCAAGGAAGGTAAAAAACGGAGACATCTGTAATCTAACAAGCTTAGCTCCGCAAGATAACAGCACAGGAACTCTAATTGTAAGTTTGGAGACTGAAAGAAAGGAGAATTATGGACTCAGTGATAATTACAGTGAAATAAAAGAATAAACATTAAAGAGAACTGTGAAAGGACAGGCCTACTTTGTAGTTCTCATGAGCAGCTTTTGTTAATATCCTGCAAACCCAACAAATATGTGGCTTTAGTTATAATGATTATCAGATTGCAGGAAGTACCAAATGAAAGTTGATACAGGTGAATGACTAGAAAATCGACTTTCAGAAGCAAAACAAGCAAGTTTCTTGCCTGAGAAAGTTTTTGGTTGTGGGAGTACCAATTTCAAAATTCAAGAATTTAAGTACATCTTTCTCCATATTCACCAGCTGCATATTTTCCAAAAACCATTTCAAACTTTCA